GTGGTAATATATAAGAAAGCATTGGCTATAACTAGGTATAAGACAAGTTGATCCATCACTACTAATATATTAACTACTCCCTAGGTGGCATCTTCTGATTAGAAATATTCTTTTTTTTATATTGGTTATGAATATTCATGAGATACAAAGCTGATTGTCACCCCTTGTGCCTAAGATGTGAAGGCCAGATCTACACTGGCAGCATGCCCAGTACCACAAATTGCAGTTGTACCCTGTGTCCCCCACCCAATTATCCCCAATCTCCCTTCCCCCGCCACTCCACTTTGTATCCCAAGGTATGTTCTCTCCCTCTGCAAGTCCAACGCACCGCTGTGGTCTTTCTTTCTTTCCTTCTTTTTCTCTTAGCTCCCACATGTGAGTGAGTACATGTGGTATTTTTCCCTTTGTGCTTTGCTTATTTCACTCAGCATAAGTTTCTATTTGACAAGGATGACTCTGTGATCAGGAGATGAAGGAGATCTTCTGGCATCTCAAATTTACAATTAGTCTCAAAAAAGAAACGGCTACAAATTTCTTGTGACTAATTCACTACAATCAGTAATTTCAATTCCAAACACAATTATCTTTTTTCTTTTCTTTTTTTTTTAATACAAGGAAAAGTCACAAACCTCTTTGGAAAAGGCACAATTGATCCTTCCTCTGTAATGGTCCTGGTGAATGCCATATATTTCAAAGGACAATGGCAAAATAAATTTCAGGAAAGAGAAACTGTTAAAACCTCTTTTCAGCTAAGTGAAGTAAGTGTTTCATTTTCAAACTGATGAAAATTTTTGGAAAATGTAATAATTACTTAAGTAAGGACAATTTAGAAATAGTTAGTGAAAATAGTTGTCTAGGTTTCTGTAAGTTCTTTTAATAGAGTTTTCTATGAATTTTAATCTTTCCCTTATTAAGTGATGGTAACCTTTCTCACAGACCCTCAAGTGGAGCCTTTGGACTCTGTGATTCCCTGGCCCAGAAGAAAAATCTAATGATCTATCTGTACATTCTTTCCATATAAACTGTGGTTATTTTATCCAGCAGCATAATAAAACTATCTGCATTATTTTTCTTCTAGAGTCTCTAATTGGATTAAAAAAGAAAATGATTCAATGGTATCATTTTTCCAAATAAATTATTTTAGCTAGCAACTTCAGCTTTGTTTTTGGTAGACCCAAATCATCTCTATATATTGTTAGAATTATTCAGTCTCTAACCACGAGTTTTTTCAAAATAAAAGATAGATCATCTTTGCAAAGGAAAGTAATAAGGGATATACTTTGTAGTTATATTATACTCATGTGTTTACAGCGTTAATGCAGGTATTCATGTTATACAAGATAATCAGTACACACACACACACACACACACACACACACTTGCTTATGTAACTGTACTACCTAATTATATTCATTTTTTTAATAGGGTAAAAGTATAATTGTGGAAATGATGTATCAAACTGGAATGTTTAAACTGGCCTTCATAGAGGAGCCGCAGATGCAAGTTCTTGAGCTGCCCTACGTTAACAACAAACTAAGCATGATTATTCTGCTTCCAGAAGGCACAGCTAATCTAGAACAGGTAAAATTATAAGATTCTAGCATGCAGCTAAAGCATGTGTGCATGTGCTCACACACACACACACACACACACACTTACAGACACTCTCTGTGTATCCCATGACGTTAGTGCAGTCAGTCACTAATTCATGATCTAGGCTTAGCAGTATTGCCCCAGGGGCTGTGAGAGGAAGTGGGGGGCAGGGGTGGGCACACAGGGCCCCTGCCCTTCAGGACCGTGTATTTAGGAAGAACAAGCTATTCTTACATGACAAAGGGCACATGGAGGCACAAGTGCCATCTTGTACAAATACACTCACATACTGGTTGTTTGACACTTGGGAGACATCGTTCCATAACAGTGAAATTGTAATGCTGGCTGGGCTTCCAGTCCTCAGAAATCTGGTTAAGCCATCTTACTCACAGTACTTTTGGGGCAGTACTTTTGGTCCAATTGTAACATACTTTGGGACTAAACTTTTCTAGTATCCTGGTTTTGTGGGGAAATGAGCACTGCAGCCATCAGGAAGAGGTCATGGTGATGGTAGGAGCCATCGCCTCCTGGCTGCAGCCAAAGCAGGAAGCCAAAGCTTCCTGGCACAGAGCAGGCCACCCTGTGGAGCATCCACACCACCTCCCCCAGCTAGCTGGGACCTGCCAATACTCTGCAAGAATGACAGACAGTTTCTTAGGACAACAGCTGAGCTTCTGGGAGCCTGCAGAAGCTGACACACACGTGGATGGGATGGCCACAGTCAGGGGTTTCTAAGTCATGGAGTGCTGGCCTGAGGTGAAAAGAATGGGGCACAGGTGGGAGGGGGTGGAGGGAAGTGTAGGGAAAGCTTCTAGAAAGACCTACGTTGGGATGTATGCATTTGGATTAAGAAGCGAGAGGGGTACCAAGCGGGAAGGAACTGTGGTAAGAGAAGAACAGCTGTGGCCATGAGAACAGGTGTGCTTGCAGGCATGGCTGACTCAGAGGGGATCGGGCCTCTGGGGGCCTGTGGTTGGCTGGAGTGGGAGATATTTGGAGGTGTATGCAGTTTGGAAGCAGTTTAGACTCTGCAGAAAGTTCTACAGTAGGGAGAGTGTAAATTAGAGTGAGGGGCCTGGGGAGGGCTTCCTGGTAGAGCAATCTCAATGTGAACCTCCCTGCTATTCCAGCAGAGCAAAGAGCACGGGCAGGTGCCTCAGAAGCGGGAGGCAGCCAGGTGAGTTTGGGTCATGAAGTCCCAGTGGTAACTAGGATTAGGGCAGAAAAGACAAAAGGAAAGGATACTGGAAGAAAAACCACCTTTACCTTATGTTGGATTTTATATTGTCAGGGTGGGAGTAGATGGTAGAAAAGTGTTAAACTCTTGGGCCACAATGATGGGTGTGACACAGCGTGGTGATTTGGGGCTGTGGGGAGGGCTTCAAATGCCCACAGGAGATGTTTGAAAGGTTGACAAAATAATGAAACTGGATGGGGAATGAGAGGTCGGAGTTGCTGGGGCTGCTGTGGGGAATCTGAGCAGAGGTAGATGGCTGAAGCGCTAGGGACAGGCATGAAGGGTGTTGGGAAGGCCTGAAGTCCAGCCTCAAGAGCAGCATAACAGAGACAGTGAAGAAGGACATATAGGGATTAAAGCTGTCGGAGGGAACAGGAGATCATGGCCTTGCAGAAGCCAACTGAGGATCAAGCTGACAAAGGAGGGTGCGAGTCTGTGTTTCAGACATGAGAACCAAGGAGAAATGGTCGAATTCATCCATGAAACAGGGCACAATGACCGCAGAGGCAGTAGAGAGACACGTTTAGGGGAAGCGTGAATGCTGAGCAAAGAACTGTCGGTACACATTGAAAAGTTTAATCAT